GTAATATATGTTTAAATCTTTTAATAGGTTCTTATGAATCAAACACTGATATTCTGCCTGTAGCTGTATTTTAGTCCACTTTTAAGATTACAAGTGTGAGATTAATACCAGGTGAGCGATGCAGGCCCATTGGGCCTCTTGTTTAGGAAATACGAAAATAACTACCAGATAAAAGACTCAAAAGTTTTAAAGGAAACAAAAGATCTTTCCATAAAAGTGTTATAGTGATGACCTGTTGATAATTCTCTTAACTCTGTCCCATGTAACACAAGACAAAATGATTGTGTTGACTGTGTATCTCCTCATTTTACAGGCTATAGATGAGAAGCTCGTGAAGACATCCCCTGGTGGTCTGCGCTATTTGGCTGAGTTTAAGTCTGGCCGTATAGAAAACAAGATGGATCACTTGGCATGCTTCAGTGGTAAAGACTTATTAAACTTTATGATATTAATACTCTTCAATTTTAAGGTCACCTGAGACAAAGTCTCAAGTGACCTATTCCGATCGCCTTTTGTCCGTCGTGCGTCCGTAAACAATTTACATTTTCGACTTCTTCTCCAAAACCCCTGAACCAATTTCAATGAAATTTTGCAGAAACCTTCCATGGACAAAGGTCAACAAAAATTGGTGCTGGTTTGGTCCCCCGCCCCCAGGGGCCTGAGGGGTGGGGCCAAAAAGGGTCAAATTGACTTAAATTTCAAAAATCTTCTTCTCAAGACCCAAATATGGTAGAATCAAATACTCTTCATAGATGGAAGGGTCTTAAGGTGCTTTACCAAAATTGTGAATTTCTTGACCCTGGGGGTCTCAGGTTTCCCCCTGGGGAGGGGGTAAACTTTACTATAGTTTATATAGGGAAACCACAATTTGGACCAACATTTGTTTAATTGCCATTGGAGGTAATTCAATTTAGGTTAGCATTATCAGTATTGGGTAGCAGTTTGATGGTATGCACATATGAACCCTGTCTGACCCCCCGGGGCTACTGGGTGGGGCCAAAAAGGGTCGAATTGACTGAAATTTCAAAAATCTTCTTCTCAAGACCCAGATATGGTAGAATCAAACACTCTTCATAGATGGAAGGGTCTTAAGGAGCTCTACCAAAATTGTGAATTTCATGACCCTTGGGTATCACGTTTCCCCGTGGGGAGGGGTTAAACTTTACTATAGTTTATATAGGGAAATCACATTTTGGACCAACATTTGTTTAATTTCCATTGGAAGTAATTAAATTTAGGTTAGCATTATCAGTATTGGGTAGCAGTTTGATGGTATGCACATATGAGCCCTGACTGACCCCCGGGGCTAATGGGAGGGAAAAAAGGGTTGAATTGACTGAAATTTCAAAAATCTTCTTCCCAAGACCCAGATATGGTAGAATCAAACACTCTTCATAGATGGAAGGGTCTTAAGGTGCTCTACCAAAATTGTGAATTTCATGACCCTTGGGTATCACGTTTCCCCGTGGGGAGGGGTTAAACTTTACTATAGTTTATATAGGGAAATCACATTTTGGACCAATATTTGTTTAATTTCCATTGGAAGTAATTAAATTTATGTTAGCATCATCAGTATTGGGTGGCAGCTTGATGGTATGCACATATGAGCCCTGACTGACCCTCGTGGCTGATGGGTGGGGCCAAAAAGGGTCATATTGACTGAAATTTCAAAAATCTTCTTCTCAAGACCCAGATATGGTAGAATCAAACATTCTTCATAGATGGAAGGGTCTAAAGGTGCTCTACCAAAATTGTGAATTTTATGACCCTGGGGTGTCACGTTTCCTCCTGGGGAGGGGGTAAACTTTACTATAGTTTATATTGGGAAATCACATTTTGGACCAACATTTGTTTAATTTTCATTGGAAGTAATTAAATTTAGGTTAGCATTATCAATATTGGGTAGCAGTTTGATGGTATGCACATATGAGCCCTGACTGACCCCCGGGGCTAATGGAAGGGAAAAAAGGGTTGAATTGACTGAAATTTAAAAATAAAAATCTTCTCAAAGACCCAGATATGGTAGAATCAAACACTCTTCATAGATGGAAGGGTCTTAAGGTTTATGACCCTAGGGTCTCACGTTTACCCCCTGGGGAAGGAGGGGGGGGGGGCCAAAATTTATTATGGTTAATAATGGCAAATGATACTTTGAATATTACATGTTAATAAGTTGATTGGAATTATAACCCTGAGTTGACAGTTTCATACTTTGAAAATTTTGAGCCAGCCCTACCCCCAAGGGCTGTAGGGTGGGGCCCAAAGGAGTCATTGTGCTAAAATTTCTTCATTTTCCTTGTTTAGAATCAGAGGTGCTAGTTTCAAATACTTTTTAGTCTTAAATCTGTATGCTAGATATTGAATAAGGTGGTTTTATTGTTTTTTGTCACTGAATATTTCTGTTCGTGTTAAAAAGAAAATCAACTCTCTTTATAAATATATCAGGTGACCGTTAAGGCACATGGGCCTCTTGTTTAAACTTATAGTGTTCATATTAAATGGAATGTTCCTACTGAGACAACTGTTAAATGTTTATATACTTATAGTGTTCATATTAAATGGAATGTTCCTACTGACACAACTGTTAAATGTTTATATACTTATAGTGTTCATATTAAATGGAATGTTCCTACTGACACAACTGTTAAATGTTTATATACTTATAGTGTTCATATTAAATGGAATGTTCCTACTGACACAACTGTTAAATGTTTATATACTTATAGTGTTCATATTAAATGGAATGTTCCTACTGAGACAACTGTTAAATGTTTATATACTTATAGTGTTCATATTAAATGGAATGTTCCTACTGAGACAACTGTTAAATGTTTATATACTTATAGTGTTCATATTAAATGGAATGTTCCTACTGAGACAACTGTTAAATGTTTATATACTTATAGTGTTCATATTAAATGGAATGTTCCTACTGAGACAACTGTTAAATGTTTATATACTTATAGTGTTCATATTAAATGGAATGTTCCTACTGAGACAACTGTTAAATGTTTATATACTTATAGTGTTCATATTAAATGGAATGTTCCTACTGAGACAACTGTTAAATGTTTATATACTTATAGTGTTCATATTAAATGGAATGTTCCTACTGAGACAACTGTTAAATGTTTATATACTTATAGTGTTCATATTAAATGGAATGTTCCTACTGAGACAACTGTTAAATGTTTATATACTTATAGTGTTCATATTAAATGGAATGTTCCTACTGAGACAACTGTTAAATGTTTATATACTTATAGTGTTCATATTAAATGGAATGTTCCTACTGAGACAACTGTTAAATGTTTATATACTTATAGTGTTCATATTAAATGGAATGTTCCTACTGAGACAACTGTTAAATGTTTATATACTTATAGTGTTCATATTAAATGGAATGTTCCTACTGAGACAACTGTTAAATGTTTATATACTTATAGTGTTCATATTAAATGGAATGTTCCTACTGAGACAACTGTTAAATGTTTATATACTTATAGTGTTCATATTAAATGGAATGTTCCTACTGAGACAACTGTTAAATGTTTATATACTTATAGTGTTCATATTAAATGGAATGTTCCTACTGAGACAACTGTTAAATGTTTATATACTTATAGTGTTCATATTAAATGGAATGTTCCTACTGAGACAACTGTTAAATGTTTATATACTTATAGTGTTCATATTAAATGGAATGTTCCTACTGAGACAACTGTTAAATGTTTATATACTTATAGTGTTCATATTAAATGGAATGTTCCTACTGAGACAACTGTTAAATGTTTATATACTTATAGTGTTCATATTAAATGGAATGTTCCTACTGAGACAACTGTTAAATGTTTATATACTTATAGTGTTCATATTAAATAGAATGTTCCTATTGAGACAACTGTTACATTGCTTTTATAGGAAATGTAATAACATGAGGGTTAATAACAGTGATAATTGTTTTAAAGGGGGCATGTTTGCCATGGGAGCTGAGGGGTCTGATAACAAGGAGAAATATCTGAAGCTGGGTGCTGATATCACCAACACCTGTCATGAGTCGTATGATCGATCAGGTGAGTAGATGGGCCTCACATGTCTTTGTCTGGTTGTAACAGGTAAGTAGATGGGCCTCACATTTCTTTGTCTGGTTGTAACCGGTGAGTAGATGGGCCTCACATTTCTTCGTCTGGTTGTAACATGTGAGTAGATGGGCCTCACATTTCTTTGTCTAGTTGTAACAGGTAAGTAGATGGGCCTCACATTTCCTTGTCTGGTTGTAACAGGTAAGTAGATGGGCCACACATTTCTTTGTCTGGTTGTAACAGGTGAGTAGATGGGCCTCACATTTCTTTGTCTGGTTGTAACAGGCGAGTAGATGGGACTCTCATTTCTTTGTCTGGTTGTAACATGTGAGTAGATGGGCCTCACATTTTTTTGTCTTGTTGTAACGGTAAGTAGATGGGCCACATATTTCTTTGTCTGGTTGTAACAGGTAAGTAGATGGGACACACATTTCTTTGTCTGGTTGTAACAGGTGAGTAGATGGGCCTCACATTTCTTTTTCTGGTTGTAACAGGCGAGTAGATGGGACTCACATTTCTTTGTCTGGTTGTAACATGTGAGTAAATGGGACACACATTTCTTTGTTTGGTTGTAACCGCTAAGTAGATGGGCTTCACATTTCTTATCTGGTTGTAACAGGTGAGTAGATAGGCCACACATTTCTTTGTCTGGTTGTAACAGGTAAGTAGATGGGCCTCACATTTTTTTGTCTTGTTGTAACGGTAAGTAGATGGGCCACATATTTCTTTGTCTGGTTGTAACAGGTAAGTAGATGGGACACACATTTCTTTGTCTGGTTGTAACAGGTAAGTAGATGAATCAAACACATCTGTATGTATTAGGTGAGTCCTCTGAAGAATTATTATGGTGTAAAGTGACAGGATTGTCCTCTTAATTGGTGTTACAAGATAAGTTAACAGTATTAGATAGTCAGGTTGTGTGTTTGATAGTGCACTTGCCTTTCACCAAGACAGATGGTGTTTGACTCCTTGATCAAATGAGAAAAGGCGTTGGCTAACCTACCCAACCATCCAGTGTTTCTCTGGTTACTCTGCTTTCCTCCCACATTAGGACCCCAGGAATCTTCCACCCGAGCCAACAAGAGTGATTAATATAAGTTGTAAAAACTTGTATCATAATGATTGTAAATAAAGTTTATAATATGTATAACAGTATTGTCCTTTGAATAATTTAGTGTTCAGGTTCACCATGCTTCTCCAAAGACAAAGTGCTGGAGGAAAAGATATGATGAATGAATACTAAAATGTTAACTTGACACTATCTTTTTGTGGCAGCTACGAAGCTTGGTCCTGAAGCTTTTCGATTTGATGGTAACACAGAAGCCAAATCAATCCGCCAGAATGAGAAGTACTACATTTTGCGTCCAGAGGTCATAGAGGCTTACTTCTACCTGTGGAGAGTCACCAAGGAGCAGAAGTACAGGGACTGGGCCTGGGAGGCTGCTCAGGTAGGGAAATATCTGGGACAGTAGGGAGGTCACAAACAGGGTAGGGGGGCATCTGATGTAGGTCAGGGATGTCATACAGGGAAGGGGACATGCGATGTAGGTCAGGGATGTCATACAGGTAGAGGGACATGTGATGTAGGTCAGGGATGTCATACAGGTAGATGGACATCTGATGTAGGTCAGGGATGTCATACAGGGAAGGGGACATGTGATGTAGGTCAGGAATGTCATACAGGTAGGGGAATATCTGATGAAGGTCAGAAATGTCATACAGGTAGGGGAACATCTGATGTAGGTCAGGAATGTCATACAGGTAGGGGACATCTGATGTAGGTCAGAGATGTCATACAGGTGGGGGAACATCTGATGTAGGTCAGGAATGTCATACAGGTAAAGGGACATTTGATTGTCATACAGGTATGGGGACATCTGATCTAGGTCAGGGATGTCATACAGGTAGGAGAACATCTGATGAAGGTCAGAAATGTCATACAGGGTAGGGGATCATCTGATGTAGGTCAGGGATGTCATACAGGTTAGGAAGCATCTGATGTAGGTCAGAGATGTCATACAGGTAGGGGAACATCTGATGTAGGTAAGGGATGTCATACAGGGTAGGGGACATCTGGTGTAGGTTAGGGATGTCATACAGGTAGGGGAACATCTGATGTAGGTCAGGACTGTCATACAGATAGGGGAACATCTGATGTAGGTCAGGGATGTCATACAGGTAAGGGGACATCTGACACATAACAGGAATGTCTTACAGGTAGGGGGACATTTGTTGTAGGTCAGAGATGTCATACAGGTAGGGGAAAACATCTGATGTAGGTCAGGGATTTCATACAGGCAGGTGAACATCTAATGTAGGTCAGGGATGTCATTACAGGTGAGGGGATCTGATGTAAGTCAGGAATGTCATACAGGTGGGGGGATCTGATGTAGATCAGGAATGTCATATAGGTTGGGGAGATCTGCTTTAGGTAAGGGATGCCATACAGGTGGGGGAAGATCTCATGTCGGGCAGGGATGACATACAGAATAGGGAAGGGGACATATGATACAGAGCAGGGATGTCATACAGGAAGGGGAACAGCTAATACATAACAGGGATGTCATACAGGTCTGATGTAGGTCATAGATGTCATACAGGTGTAGGGGGGTATCTGATGTAGGTTATGGATGTCATACAGATGGGAGAGATCTGATGTAGGTAAGGGGTGTCATACAGGTAATTGGAGATCTAATACAGGGCAGGGATGACATACAGGTAATGGGAGATCTAATGTAGGCCAGGGATGACATACAGGTAACAGGAGATCTAATGTAGGGCAGGGATGACATACAGGTTAGGGGACAAGTTATACAGGTAAGGGGAGATCTAATGTAGGGCAGGGATGACATACAGGTAATGGGAGATCTAATGTAGGGCAGAGATGACATACAGGTAACAGGAGATCTAATGTAGGGCAGGGATGACATACAGGGAACGGGAGATGTAATGTAGGGCAGGGATGACATACAGGTAATGGGAGATCTAATGTAGGGCAGGGGTAACATACAGGTAACGGGAGATCTAATGTAGGCCAGGTATGACATACAGGTTAGGGGACAAGTCATACAGGTAAGGGGAGATCTAATGTAGGGCAGGGATAACATACAGGTAATGGGAGATCTAATGTAGGGCAGAGATGACATACAGGTAACAGGAGATCTAATGTAGGGCAGGGATGACATACAGGTAATGGGAGATCTAATGTAGGCCAGGGATGACATACAGGTAACAGGAGATCTAATGTAGGGCAGGGATGACATACAGGTTAGGGGACAAGTCATACAGGTAAGGGGAGATCTAATGTAGGGCAGGGATAACATACAGGTAATGGGAGATCTAATGTAGGGCAGGGATGACATACAGGTTAGGGGACAAGTCATACAGGTAAGGGGACATAGATGCAGGGCAGGGATTACATTAAGGTCTGGGAAGAACTAATACAAGACAGGGATGATATAGATATACAGATTAGAGGGCATCTGCACTTCTTTTTAGCTCACCTGGCATAAAGTGCCAAGTGAGCTTATGCCGTGGCTCGGCGTCCGTCGTCCGTCTGTCGTTCGTCTGTCCGTCCGTCTGTCCGTCTGTCCTCGTCCGTCAACTTTTCCTTTAAACAACTTCTTCTGAAGAACGGACAGGCCTAGAGTCATGATATTTGGCTGAAAGCTTTGTTGGTATGAGCCCTACAAAGTTTGAGAACGAAAATGACCTTGACCTGTTTTCAAGGTCACAGGGGTCAAATATGTCAAAAACTTCAAACGACTTCTTCTAAAGAACTAAAAGGTATAGAATCTTCATATTTGGCTGATGGCTTCCTGGGATAGAGCCCAACAAAGTTTGAGAATGAAAATGACCTTGACCTACTTTCAAGGTCACAGGGGTCAAATGTGTCAAACACTTCAAACGACTTCTTCTGAAGAACTGAAAGGTATAGAATCTTTATATTTGGCTGGTGGCTTCCTGGGATAGAGACCAACAAAGTTTGAGAATGAAAATTAGTTTGACCTACTTTCAAGGTCACAGGGGTCAAATATGTCAAAAACTTCAAACGACTTCTTCTGAAGAATTAAAAGGTATAGAATCTTCATATTTGGCTGATGGCTTCCTTGGATGGAGCCCAACAAAGTTTGAGAATGAAAATTACCTTGACCTTCTTTCAAGGTCACAGGGGTCAAATGTGTCAAACACTTCAAACGACTTCTTCTGAAGAACTGAAAGGTATATAATCTTTATATTTGGCTGGTGGCTTCCTGGGATAGAGCCCAACAAAGTTTGAGAATGAAAACTAGTTTGACCTACTTTCAAGGTCACAGGGGTCATATATGTCAAAAGCTTCAAATGACTTCTTCTGAAGAACTGAAAGGTATAGAATCTTTATTTTTGATTGATGGCTTCCTTGGATAGAGCCCGACAAAGTTTGAGAATGAAAATGACCTTGACCTTCTTTCAAGGTCACAGGAGTCAAATGTGTCAGACACTTCAAACGACTTCTTCTGAAGAACTGAAAGGTATATAATCTCTATATTTGGCTTGTAGCTTCCTAGGAAAGAGCCGAACAAAGTTTGAGAATGAAAATGACCTTGACCTTCTTTTAAGGTCACATGAGGCAGATATGTCAAACACTTTAAACGACTTCTTCTGAAGAACTGGTAGTTATAAAATCTTAATATTTGGCAGGTGGCTTCCTGGGAAAGAGCCAAACAAAGTTTGCGAATGAAAATGACCTTGACCTACTTTCAAGGTCACAGCGTTCAAATATGTCAAACAGTTCAAACAGCTTCTTCTGAAGAATTAAAAGGCATAAAATTATAATATTTGGCTGGTGACTTCCCGGGATAGAGCTCACCAAAGTTTGCAAATGAAAATGACCTCAACCTACTTTAGAGGTCACAGAGGTCAACAACATTTTAATGGATTTGTTCTTGAGAACTAAAAGGAATGGATTCATAAGATTTGGCTGGTAGCTTTTTGGAATAGAGCTAACCAATTTGAGAAGGAAAATGACATTGACCTACTTACAAGATCACAGGGAAAAATATGTCAAGCAACTTCTGAAGAAGAATCAAAAAGCATAGAATCTTATAATAATATTTTGCTGGTAGTTTCAACAGATGGAGCCAACAAAGTTTGCAAGGGAAATATTTTTAGTGCAATATGATATTTAATGAGAATATTTTGCTATGACTGCTTAAATATTCAGGTGAGCGATACAGGCCCTCTTGGGCCTCTTGTTTGTTAATTTTGTACCCTTCCTCATTACTGTTAACTCTTGATACATATTCGCTTACTTTTGTGTAGGCTTTGAACAAGCACTGCAGAGTTGATGGTGGCTTTTCTGGCTTGCGGGATGTGTACCAGGAAAAACCATCACTGGATGATGTGCAGCAGAGCTTTTTCCTGGCTGAGACTCTGAAATATCTGTATTTGATCTTCTCCGAGGATGACCTGATACCCATTGACAAGTGGGTGTTCAACACAGAAGCCCATCCCTTCCCTGTAACGGCATAGCAGTAGGGAACAGGTGTGACATATTGTAAAAGATCAAGGTATGACACATGGCATACCTGTACAGGTGTGACTTAAGCATTACGTATACAGGTGTCATGATGCATCAGATCATAATTGTAGTGTGAAAGTGCTATTACATGTATAAACCAGGGTGAACTTGAGTCTGTTACCTGGTCATGTATCAGGGTGAACTTGAGTGTCTGTTATCTGATGATGTACAAGGGTGAACTTGAGTGTCTGTTATCTGGTGATGTACAAGGGTGAACTTGAGTCTGTTATCTGATGATGTACAAGGGTGAACTTTAGTGTCTGTTATCTGGTGATGTACAAGAGTGGACTTGAGTGTCTGCTATCTGGTGATGTACAAGGGTGAACTTGAGTCTGTTATCTGGTCATGTATCAGGGTGAACTTGAGTGTCTGTTATCTGGTGATGTACAAGAGTGGACTTGAGTGTCTGCTATCTGGTGATGTACAAGGGTGAACTTGAGTCTACTATCTGGTGATGTACCAGGGTGAACTTGAGTCTGTTATCTGGTGATGTACAAGGGTGAACTTGAGTGTCTGTTACCTGGTGATGTACAAGGGTGAACTTGAGTCTACTATCTGGTGATGTACCAGGGTGAACGTGAGTCTGTTATCTGGTGATGTATCAGGGTGAACTTTAGTCTGTTATTGATGTACAAGGGTGAACTTGAGTGTCTGTTACCTGGCGATGTACAAGGGTGAACTTGAGTCTACTATCTGGTGATGTACCAGGGTGAACTTGAGTCTGTTATCTGATGATGTACAAGGGTGAACTTGAGTCTGTTACCTGGTCATGTATCAGAGTGAACTTGAGTGTCTGTCATCTGGTAATGTATCAGGGTAAACTTGAGTGTCTGTTATCTGATGATGTACAAGGGCGAACTTGAGTCTGTTACCTGGTCATGTATCGGGGTAAACTTGAGTGTCTGTTATCTGATGATGTACAAGGGTGCACTTGAGTCTGTTACCTGGTCATGTATCAGGGTAAACTTGAGTGTCTGTTATCTGATGATGTACAAGGGGGAACTTGAGTCTGTTACCTGGTCATGTATCGGGGTAAACTTGAGTGTCTGTTATCTGATGATGTACAAGGGTGAACTTGAGTGTCTGCTATCTGGTGATGTACAAGGGTGAACTTGAGTCTGCTATCTGGTGATGTACCAGGGTGAACTTGAGTCTGTTATCTGATGATGTACAAGGGTGAACTTGAGTCTGTTACCTGGTCATGTATCAGGGTGAACTTGAGTGTCTGTCATCTGGTGATGTACAAGGGTGAACTTGAGTGTCTGCTTTCTGATGATGTACAAGGGTGAACTTGAGTCTGTTACCTGGTCATGTATCAGTGTAAACTTGAGTGTCTGTTATCTGATGATGTACAAGGGTGAACTTGAGTCTGCTATCTGGTGATGTACAAGGGTGAACTTGAGTCTACTATCTGGTGATGTACCAGGGTAAACTTGAGTCTGTTATCTGGTAATGTATCAGGGTGAACTTGAGTGTCTGCTATCTGATGATGTACAAGGGTAAACTTGAGTCTGTTATCTAATGATGTATCAGGGTGAACTTGAGTGTCTGCTATCTGATGATGTACAAGGGTGAACTTGAGTCTGTTATCTGGTGATGTACAAGGGTGAACTTGAGTCTGTTATCTGATGATGTATCAGGGTGAACTTGAGTGTCTGCTATCTGATGATGTACAAGGGTGAACTTGAGTGTCTGTTATCTGGTGATGTATCAGGGTGAACTTGAGTCTACTATCTGATGATGTACTAGGGTGAACTTGAGTCTGTTATCTGATGATGTACAAGGGTGAACTTGAGTCTGTTGCCTGGTGATGTATCAGGGTGAACTTGAGTGTCTGCTATCTGGTGATGTACAAGGGTGAACTTGAGTCTACTATCTGGTCATGTATCAGGGTGAACATGAGTCTGTTACCTGGTGATGTATCAGGGTGAACTTGAGTGACTGTTATCCGATGATGTACAAGGGTGAACTTGAGTCTACTATCTGGTGATGTATCAGGGTGAACATGAGTCTGTTACCTGGTGATGTATCAGGGTGAACTTGAGTGTCTTGAACTTGAGTGTCTGCTATCTGATGATGTAGTCTGTTATCTGATGATGTGCCAGGGTGAACTTGAGTGTCTGCTATCTGATGATGTACAAGGGTGAACTTGAGTGTCTGCTATCTGATGATGTAGTCTGTTATCTGGTCATGTATCAGGGTAAACTTGAGTGTCTGTTATCTGATGATGTACCAGGGGGAACATGAGTCTGTTCCCTCGTCATGTATCAGGGGGAACTTGAGTGTCTGTTATCCGATGATGTACAAGGGAGAACTTGAGTCTACTATCTGGTCATGTATCAGGGTGAACATAAGTCTGTTACCTGGTGATGTACCAGGGTGAACTGGGTGAACTTGAGTCTGTTATCTGGTCATGTATCCTGGTCATGTATCAGGGTAAACTTGAGTGTCTGTTATCTGATGATGTACCAGGGGGAACATGAGTCTGTTCCCTCGTCATGTATCAGGGCGAACTTGAGTGTCTGTTATCCGATGATGTACAAGGGCGAACTTGAGTCTACTATCTAACTTGAGTCTGTTATCTGGCCATGTATCAGGGTGAACTTGAGTCTGTTATCTGGTAATGGATCAGGGTGAACTTGAGTGTCTGCTATCTGGTGATGTACAAGGGTGAACTTGAGTCTATTATCTGATCATGTATCAGGGTGAACTTGAGTGTCTGCTATCTGATGATGTAGTCTGTTATCTGGTCATGTATCAGGGTAAACTTGAGTGTCTGTTATCTGATGATGTACCAGGGTGAACATGAGTCTGTTCCCTCGTCATGTATCAGGGTGAACTTGAGTGTCTGTTATCCGATGATGTACAAGGGTGAACTTGAGTCTACTATCTGGTCATGTATCAGGGTGAACATGAGTCTGTTACCTGGTGATGTACCAGGGTGAACTTGAGTGTCCGGTGATATATCAGGGTGAACTGGAACCTGTTTTGTGGTGGTGTACTAGATTAAACTTAAAATTTAACAGAATTGACTTGAGTTTGTTATCTGGGTCTTACCTCGATTGATGTTGAGTGTCTGTTACATGATTCTGTACAAAAATGATCTTGGTTGTCTGATGTGTAAAAAGTATTTGCAACATTACAAGTATTGAAACATCAATACAGACTTTAGGCAATACTCAATCAGAAATGTTTTAGTGTTGGAATAAGAGGTATATTTCAAGGCTGTTTTTCATTCCTTGCTATACGGAATATGTTGAATCTGTCAAGATATTATTAGTTTAAAATGGACTACTTTAATCCATATACTGTGAAAGAAAAACACATAACAACCCTCTATACAGTCTTGTCCTGTTATGTTTTAGCAAAGCATAATGATACTAATAATCCAAACACATTGTGTAATGATACTGATGATCCAAACACATCGTGTAATGATACTGATGATCCAAACACTTTGTGTAATGATACTGATGATCCAAACACATCATGTAATGATACTGATGATCCAAACACATCATGTAATGATACTGATGATCCAAACACATCGTGTAATGATACTTGTGTTTAAAACATGTTGTATAATGATACTAGTTATTAAGAAGCAGGGATTTTGATGTTTATTTATTGTGTTTAAATCTTTGATGATGTATTTTAGTATTTTGGTGAGTGTATTAATGTTGATACAGTGTTACATTATCTCTCAAGCTCCAGTCTGCCCACACTTTATGTATATATTTCCTTGGTGAGCTGGGTAGTAGACATATGATAGTGTTACTTTTACCCAGAATATTATTATGTTATGCAAATTCTGTGTATAGTAATCCTGCCTTTTTCCTTTTGATTTGGTCGTTATAGGTAGGTATGTGTTTGTACCATTGAAATGAAAACAGTATCAAATTGTAGTCATATGTTGTAAAAGTAGGAGATCATTTTCTGGAGATGAAAAAACAAGGGAAGAAGTTAAAGGTTCATGTTTTGTAACGATCCTCCAGCTAGCGATATTGGACCATGTTGTGTGTGTATGACCCCAGCTACATTCAGACCATGATCTGTGTCCTGTGTGTAGGCCCCCAGCTAAAATCAGACCATGATCTGTGTCCTGTGTGTAGGCCCCCAGCTACAATCAGACCATGATCTGTGTCCTGTGTGTATGCCCCCAGCTACAATCAGACCATGATCTGTGTCCTGTGTGTAGGCCCCACCATGATCTGTGTCCTGTGTGTAGCTCACCTGCTACCATCAGCCCATGATCTGTGTCCTGTGTGTAAGCCCCCAGCTACAATCAGACCATTATCTATGTCCTGTGTGTATGCCCCCAGCTTCAATCAGACCATGATCTGTGTCCTGTGGGTAGGCCCCCAGCTACAATCAGAGCATGATCTGTGGCCTGTGTGTAGGCCCCCAGCTACATTCAGACCATGATCTGTGTCCTGTGTGAAGGTCCCACCATGATCTGTGTCCTTTGTGTAGGTCCCACCATGATCTGTGGCCTGTGTGTAGGCCCCCAGCTACATTCAGACCATGATCTGTGTCCTGTGGGTAGGCCCCCAGCTACAATCAGACCATGATCTGTGTCCTGTGTGTATGCCCCCAGCTACAATCAGACCATGATCCTTTTCCTGTAGGTAAGGCCTTCGTCTACAATTAAACCTGTATCTTCCCTAACATCGTTTTTAACTTAACTTCATCAAATATGACTGGATTCTAATGAAACTTAGTGAATATTTATATGAAATAGAGATAAAGATATAGTTCAAAATTGAGCAAAATCTGACTTGATTATCTAGCATCTTACACTGCCATTGGTTCACAGTTTCGGCACAATACATGATATGATACAAATACAGCAGTTGAGTTTGAAGTTCATTGAAATCTGCACATAACTGATGAGAATAATGCTGCGAGGTTTCCACACAATGACTTCATCAAGTAGGGCTGGAATTTGGTGACATTTAGGTAATATTTACACTATACAATATATCTTTGATTTCCATGGTTTATTATAAGATGAGTTAGAGCAAAGGGAGGCAACACAATTTCTTTTTTATAGTTTGAAATATGGTCAAAGGAAAGCAATTCCTACACAAGTCAGATTTTTCAGGATAAATGACAAATAAATATTCCTTCAGCTGAAGTTTAAAATGTTTTATTCACAACAACCCAGAAATGATTTCAACATTACAGAGTAATATGTTACAAATTTGCTTTCCTCTGTTTACATTTCATTATTTTCATATATTTTAGTACAAGGATTCATGTGGATTCAGTACAGGATGGACACTAATGTTTCACCCTGTGGATTCAGTACAGGATGGACACTAATGTTTCACCCTGTGGATTCAGTACAGGATGGACACTAATGTTTCACCCTGTGGATTCAGTACAGGATGGACACTAATGTTTCACCCTGTGGATTCAGTACAGGATGGACACTAATGTTTCACCCTGTGGATTCAGTAGGATCATTCATGCTTTTGCTTTCTTTTTCTGATCATTAGGAATCCAAAACTTGATATTAATGATTACATATTACCACCAAACCTTGTATAGTGATTAGGGTTAAACACTGGTGACCTTGTATGGTGATTAAGGTTAAACACTGGTGACCTTGT